CCTTTCCTTTCCCAAGCCCGTATGCACTCATTAATAGCACCTCGGTGAGTAGTGGGAGAAAGGCCCAAACAGTTCTGACCCCTGAAGAGTTCACAAAGCTTTCTTTCAGGTGGACAATGTTAACAATGTCTGTTGTTTTTAGGTAAACCGGATTTCTTATAGACGCAATATTTAATTGAATAGCACTGATAAATCAGCTAATCTAGGAAATCAGCGTTTCAGAAAGCATCTTATCTCTTAGAGCGCAGACATTATTCGATATCCTCTCAGGTCACACATGCCATAGGGCCGTGCAGTAAATTACTCTCACCTCGCGTGGGAGCTCGGCACATGACGGAGGGGTGGAGAAAGTATTGTAGGGGCCCTGTACTAAGCCTCCCACAGCCAATAAGAACAGGACTGACCTCAACATTTAGCACCATAGCGTCCAGATCATCCAGCTGTTTGATCCGGGCCACTGAATTAACTCAACTTTTCAGCTTCACTCAAGTCACGTTGGACTAAATCTGAGGCAGATGTGCCGCTGGCAACATTTGGGCTGTCACAGCAAATATAGAGCCACAGATAACGTCTGGAGTATCTGTGAAACATATGCAGCGATTTATATTTCATTCCATGCATATTCAGAGACGCTCAGTCCCATTCAATGATGTCTGCAGCGTGTTAACGTGCCTCCGAGACCGCTGTTTATCTGCAGAGCTCATCTGGCCCTGTTGGAGAGCTCCTGCCAAGGTAAGACACTTGACACACAGACACTATGCACTTCTAATGTCTAACAGACGTCCCTTTAAAAGCAATTGCTTGCATAAGTAGGCTATTTTCAGTTTGGATACTCGTGAAAGATGTGTTGCTTTGTCAGTGTTCTAACAATACAGTACTCACTACGCCAGTGTGTGATTTCCCTGAGCAAATATTTAACAAGCTTCCCTCATCTATAATTAATCAGACAAATTCACCAGGTCTAATAAGCGGTATTAGAAACCTGGGGTCGTAAAAGACCCCGAGCATGGCTGCAGGGAGAATGAATGAAAACTCTTTGGCTCGAAGCACAAACATTAAGCCAAAGATGTAAAATGTAATGTTCATTCAACACTATTCCGGTTGTTTCTGCTGTGATTCCATTCAACTTTAGCATCTATTTTGACTGTTTGATTCAGTGTAATCTGAATAAATAAAGAAGAAGAAACGTTGAATGTTAAAAAGTGGGGGGCCTTGAATGCACCACACGGATGGTGTTTCTATATGGAGCAGTGCTTTGCCTCAGTCGTCCATCAGCTAATGATGGTCAAGTCAAGCAACAGGGTTTCATCGCTTCACATAACAAGCTCAGGGTGTCGAACAGTGACCCGTGTTAGTCAAATGAATTCCAAAGAACATTGTTTCTTTTTGCAGTAGCACCAGCTCTTCTTGTGTCTCTATTGTTCTCTGCTGAACAGACCCTGGTTTGTGCTGGAATGTCTGCGTTGTCAAGTGGCACTTTGACTGCTTTATTTAGATCTTTACAGTGTGACGGGGGTTAGCGTAGATGCCTCTGCCCATATGTCTACTTATTTCATTCTCCGATACCTGGCTTAAATGAATCAACTCTGCAGTTTTTCGCTCAATTGCTTGATAATTTTCCCTCCATTATAGAGCTAAGCGATCAATCCTTAGTGTGAAATTATCCGGTTTATTCATTATTCCTGCGGTTTTGATGTTTTATCTGGAGCCCTGTCTGTCTCAACTCATTCCTCCATTCATCATCTGATGTCAACCACTGAATTTTTCATTCTTTAAAATAACAGCGCCGTCTCTGCAGCCAGTTAAGAACATATGCCCGGCACACTGTCCTATTTGAGAGGCAGCCTTCTGGATGCGTAGTGGGTATTTTCAAACAGTGAAAGTCTTTTGGCTGACCTTTTCGTGTAATTGTGCAGGTCATCCGTTTCAAGAGTGGGAGACGTGACGGGTGTGAACCGAAGCGACATCCAGCTCTTTTACTTCACAAAAATCATGTTCATACTTTAATGTAGCCTTCGTCAGACAACATAGATACAAAGTAAAGCTTCAACAAAAAAAACAGAGACAGAGGAATGTTCTTTGAAACCAGGAGGAGGAGGTTGAGGAACAACAGCTCGTAGGTGTATCAGCTGTGCTAAATAACATCAATTAGGCTAATGTTGTCACAGGAATAGACAGTGGTGATTTCTAACCAACCTAATCATTTTAATTTAATGCATTTAATGTCGTGGAAGGATGTTACAGATTGTTATAGTCTAAATAACGTTGTACTTCCTTCTTAGGTCAGAGAAATGCTCGTTGATTTCCCGACCTTCAGTCTTTATGCTAAGCTAGGCTAGCTACCCAAGACAAGTACTCAACACACAGATTGATATCAACCTTTTCTAAGCATGTACAAGCATAGTTCACCAAATGGTTAACTTTAAAGTCGTCTTTGTCATTAGCAAGCATAAACCTTTCCTGGTCTGAAAGCTTCTAGCTTAGTGCAGTTGGTATGTGTTGGTATGTGCTGGTATGTGTTGGTATGTGTTGGTATGTATTGGTATGTGTTGGTATGTGTTGGTATGTATTCGTATTTCTTACAAATGAGGAGGCTGTGACACTGTTACGTTGCTTCAGCTGTTGTTCCTGACAATTGCACTTCCTCGTTGATGGTGTTAAAGTAAAAGTCTGTAACATTTATAAACATAATTTATATGCAAATATAATTTGTTACACCTAGGTGGCTACTATCTAATTATTCTAAGTGACCCTTAATATCTGTATGAAAGGCAGAAGCTCTTATTTCACCTCCACTACCTATTGCATGTGTAGAATAATGCAGGAGGCACATTTACAGCTGCATAGCAGCAGCTAAAATCCCAGCTCAATAAAATAAAAAAGTTCTTTAGCACATTAAATATTCACTACTCGCCGCACACACTTGGCTTATCCAATACGTTTTCAGAGCACTAAACCAATTCATCAACCAAATCAAGTCCTCCTTGGCTGAAAAACACTATATCATCACCCACTCCTGAGCGTAGCCCTGAGCTATGCAACAATGTGAATTCTTCTAGGGTTCATGGTCTGATCGATGTTTTCTCTGGATAGTCTCCCCTGTGTAAACAATACAGTAAGTTGTTTGACTCTTATTCATCACCTCTAAAGTGAGGCGGTGGGATCTCAGCGGGTGGGAGCTCAGTAAATACATGCAGAGAACAACTCAAAGCAAAGCAAGGCCAAAAATCGGCATGCCTAATCCCCAACTCTCTCTTATCGAGTTGGGGAAATATTTTGAGACAAATCTGAACTCTTTCCAAAAACGCATGTGGGCGCCAGCAAAGCAGAGGTACTCAGAGGTACTTATAGGTCAGAGGAGGGCATGTACTGCATTTTGCACATGTTATAGGGGAATTTATACAGTAAGTTTGGTCAGTTAGTGCTGAAGATGAGGCACACAGATGTAAAAAGACAAAATATAGCAATCGGCATAGATATCTTCTACATAGGAGGTGAAATAATTTTAAAAGAGGCCAAAATGTGACAACTGGGAGTTAAAAAGATAAAAAATGTGTCTACAGTTGAAGAAGAATTAAAGGGTGGAAACAGTTACACTTTTGCAGAAGGGATTGTGTTATTCTTTCCACTCATTTTCTTTCATTGTCTCTCCTCAGCTTTGAAACATTTTCAAAACAGCAACTCTTCTCAGCTTTGTATCAGATTTACAAATGAAAACCTTCAGCAACAGTTAAACTGGAATTTCTTCATGGTCATTGAAACACAACATGCACACCTTTGTAGGAGGAACCTAAGAGTTATGAGGGGATTTACTGGGGGGGAAGCTAAAGAAATACATATATTAGTCACCTTAAGGTTTACGAAATGAAACTAAAGTGGAGATTCGTTGAACTTTGAAAATAGCAAAAATGGATCCCATCTGAACTGCAGATTCTTTTCTACCATCATGGAGATGGTCAAGGGCGAGTCTGTCGGCATGCAGATGCACAGCCAATAAGAGCTGCTGTTATATAACCAAACAGACTATATATTAACAGTCTAACTAACAATATTTAGAGACCTTTGCCACAGAAGACACCTCAAGTGAACTGTTAAGGATTCAGAGTAGGCAAACGGAGAAGTAAATGTTAATTAAATCAATTGGTTAAAAAAAAATCTTAGTTTTACTTTCTTTTTTGACACCAGTATAAAACGTCTTTGTAAATTCAGCAGTAACATTGATGTTATACTTGTCATAAAATTGATTCATTATGTTTTTAGTTTCTTTAATACCACTTTTTTATTATCCAATTAGATATCTGTGGATGAACAGCTTTACAACCACTTGCAAGACTCCTTATGTGTGACAAGATCATCTTGAGCACTAAGTTAAACTGTTGCTGACGTTTTCCATTCACAGAGTAGACACAAAAATGTTCTAGAGCTGTTGATGTCAAATGTTTCAAAGCTGAGGACAAAATATCAAGTATAATTATGATGATACACTTTATTTATACAGCACCTTTCATACAGGTGGGAGTAGTTCAAAGTGATTTACAGCGATGTGAAGAAAAAAGAGAATATATAAAAACAGATTAAAATGTGAAAATACTGCACGATAAAACCAAGCGATAAAACAAAAGAAGGCACTAGAACAATAAAACATGTAAAATATATATAAAACAAAAGAAAAGCGACAGCTAGTTAAAGGCAAAATGGAATAAATAAGTTTTCAATTGTCTTTTAAAAATGAGCTTCCCTCTCTTATAGCCTTGAGTAGGTACGGTAATAGTCTTATTATAAGAAGGCTGAGCTGCCGATTTGCTTATTAAAGTGATAGTTTTAATTTTTTTTAAAGTCAGCGGAGGATCTAAGTGGCTGTGAAGGGTTATAAAAAGAATAATTAGTTATGTGGGCCGGTAACCAAAACTATGTTCTTTGCTGTTTTGTTCTCTCCCGAACAGATCTTCATCTCTGTGAAACGTGTCGAATTTGAAGCAGGGTTGGTTCTGTGACTGAACATGGCGCCCGCCGTCGGTGGTCCTCAAGGCTCCCCACCACCCGAGGGTAGCTGGGGATGGATGGTGGTTGTCGGGGCCTTCATCTCGATTGGCTTCTCCTACGCGTTCCCCAAGTCCATCACTGTCTTCTTCAAAGATATAGAGGTGATCTTCGATGTGACCAGCAGCCAGGTGTCCTGGATCTCTTCCATCATGTTAGCGTGCATGTACGGCGGAGGTGAGCCACGACCCAGAATTCAACCCGTGAACCGCTGCCTCACACTTGACATTCAGCACATAAAGACGATTTATAGATGGAGTCAGTCTCCGGCTCTTAGCACAACTTGTAAAAGATTTACTCCTGGAGTGTTAAAATGCCGATCCCATTGCTCAAGTACAGACTTGCTTTGTAGCCTAAGTCTGTCCACAAAGAGGCCACAGATCCTCACAATTATAGTCAATCAAACATTTCATACTGAGCTAAGACAACACACTGTAACTCCTCTGTTGAACATTTGCTCACCAAAAGTACATTATCTGTCTCTGGAACACATGAATGGGTTTTTTTAGCTGTGTTCCTGCACTGATGAGGTGAATTATCTCATCAGTCAGGTGACTGAAACGCTCTATTCATGTGCGTGATATTCAACACGGAGAGAACCGAGTTCAAAGGAGCTCCCCTCGTCCCTCAAGACCGTCTGCTCTGAAATCAAACCGCCGCACTTCTCTTTTCTTGTGATAAACTGGGAAAAAAATGATGACTTGGGAATCTTTTTCTAATCTCAGGGAAGTTTTTTGGAAAGTTGCTGTAGTGTGCCAAAGTGATGTGAAGTGGAAAATATTAACAACGTATACAACTGTACATCACATTTTCTCTCAAATATATTTACAAGATCTGCAAGCAATAAAATATAAGTGGACACAGTATCTTATTGCTAGTATTGCAGAATGTTGAACATATTACTTGTGTAAAAGCAAGTTGCAAGTTACAGTACTGCACGTCAAAGGCCAGCAAGACTTCATGTCCGAGTTAAGCCCTCATTACTGTACAAAGTAAGTACGTTAACAGAACCAACGCTGCTTATTGTTCAGCAGCACATTCCCTGCAATGACTAAAGGTCACAGAGTTGCTCTCTGCGAACATCCGATTGTTCTTCATTCGTCTGCCACTTCACAGTGTGGTGTTCAGTAGCAGTGTTTATTAGCTTGGGTGGCTTTACACACCTTTTCTCAAGGCTGTAAAAGAGAGATATGCGCCTGTTCTGACAAGTTACGAGTCCCATTGGACTCAACATGCATATTCAGGTGTCACATTGTCAATTAATTCAAATGTTGAGATGTAAATATGCACAGATGAAAGCAAGCTATGCATGGTAATTGAAAGCTAAGTGATGGAATGTTTGTCCGCGCCGTGAGCAGATGACAGCTGCGTCAGTTATCGTACGATAAACATTCCGAGCACATCAGCGGGAGAAGTTCGTTAACAACCTACTGTTGCGCACCTCTGTACTCCTTCAATGTTTGATTCATTACATTCATAATATTCTACATTGGTTCGTATCCAACCTTTTTATCCCGAGCAACCCTCCCTGCAAGGCGGAAAGAAAGAACTCATTGTTAGTGTGGAGACCGGCTGCATTACAATTTAAAAACCCTTTGTCTTGCACCGTGCTGGCAAATGAGTCTGGACAACCTCTAAACAAAAACTGTCAGTTTCTATTTAGGTCCGTTGGGTCGTGCAGGGATTTGGCAGGAAGGCAGAAGTGTCTTCCGTGTGGGTCCTCATACTCATTTAGGTCCCTTGTTAGACGCCGAGGATGGAGATGGTGTTTCTGCGACGTGAACCCTCCGCACATTTTAGTCATTTGTTTACAAGTCATACTGATTTTCCTGAAATTGATGTTGAATCCAAGGTGCGTGCATATTAATAAGTTGATTTACTGTTCTGTTCTGACATTCTGTCACTTTTTCTTTGGAACTAATGTACCAGGTGCTAAAATTGGAAAAAAATGTACGTAATAAGATACCAGTTTTCATTTTACCCCCCCACACACACACACACACACACACACACACACACACACACACACACACCAGTCCCTTCAACTCCCCCCAATCAAACACACACACTTATACACTCACCCACTCATCTAAAGTGAGCTTCTTCCAATAATCATTTCAAATGCATTTAGAGTTCATTCAAGAAGAATCCACCAACAAATTATTCCTCTGTCAATTTGTATGAATCTCTGAAACAAATAAATGCTTATTTCATTAGCGCCGTCATGGTTTTTCTGACACATCGCATTATTAATGGCACGAGAACACATCTACTGCAGTGCAGCACTGACTAAAATGATTGCAGAAGTTGTTTGAATTGCCAGGAGCCACAGCTGTGGCACTGGAGCCCTCTGGTGGTAAAATAGAGGCCTGTGCATTGACGATTGCATAGAAATCTCCATCGTTCAGCTTTTAATATCAGTGTGTTTGCTCTTCAGTTCCAATCAGCAGCATCCTGGTGAATAAATATGGAAGCCATCCTGTTATGACAGCGGGAGGATGCCTGTCTGGAACGGGCCTCATTGCTGCCTCTTTCTGCAATTCTGTTCAAGCACTGTACCTATGTATTGGTGTGGTGGGAGGTACCCAATTTAACTTTCTATATTTCTAAGTTTGGTCATGAGTCACTTTCTTTGTTTCTTTTTTTTTTTTTTTACTGCGCACTGTTGCCATCTAGTGTTCTTCCAAAAGTAAAAATACCAGGAAATAATCTCCAAACAGTTTAATGCTCAAATCCCTTTTATTTCAACTCGTATACTGTATTTATAGATGTCAAATACACTCACAGGTTTTTCTTATTGATTATTTTAGGTTTAGGATTGGCCTTCAATCTGAACCCTGCCCTCACCATGATTGGAAAGTACTTCTACAATAAGTGGCCCATTGCTAATGGCATTGCTATGGCTGGCAGCCCCGTCTTCTTGTCCACTATGGCTCCTATAAACACCTGGCTTTTTGACAAGTTCGGCTGGAGAGGAAGCTTCTTGATCCTGGGCGGCCTGCTGTTCAACTGCTGTGTCGCTGGTTCCCTCATGCGTCCCATAGGACCCAAACCCAAAACTGCAGAGAAGAGCACAGAGAAGAGGACTGTAGTGTCGACCATTAACAGCTTCATCGACCTCTCTCTGTTCAAGCACCGGGGCTTTGTGCTCTATATTGTGGGCAACATTGTCATGTTTTTCGGTCTCTTCGCGCCGCTGGTGTTCCTCAATAATTATGCAAAGAGTAAAGACATCCCTAAAGACAAGGCAGCTTTCTTACTGTCTGTGCTGGCTTTTGTGGACATGGTCGCCCGGCCCTTAATGGGCATTGTGGCTAACACCAAGTGGATTTGGCCCAGAATACAGTACTTCTTCGCTGCCTCGGTGCTGTACAACGGTGTTTGCCACGTTCTAGCACCAATGTCGGTAAACTACAAAGGCTTTGTGATTTATACCATTTTCTTTGGGTTTGCTTTCGGCTGGCTGAGCTCGGTGCTGTTTGAGACCCTGATGGACCTGGTGGGAGCCCAGCGCTTCTCCAGTGCCGTCGGGCTGGTCACCATTTTGGAGTGTGGTCCTGTGTTGTTGGGACCCCCTTTGCTTGGTGAGTACATCGCCTTCTAAATGAACTTCCAAGTTCACCGTCACCAATTTTAATTTATTACCTTGTCTCGACGGTGACTAAAGAATCATGCGATGTGACTTTTTCTCCTCACAGGGAAGTTCAAAGACGTGTATCACACATACCAGGGCTGCGGCATCCTCCTCTTCGTCTCCAGTTTCATCCTGTTTGCGTGGATGGGACTCAACTATCACCTGTTGGCCAAAGAGAAGAAAGAGGAGGAGAGTAGGGCCAGGGTGGGAAGCAGAGAACAAAACTCCAACAGGGATATTGCTGCCAAGGAGATGGCAGAGGCGAGGAACACAGAAGACACTGTCTAATATTCTGTACCATGTTATTTGACATTTTTGTTCAATTGAATCTTGTCAGTGAGGCATTTAGACCAAGCCCTTTAAACTCTGATATTCATAGGGACTGTTATATGTGTTGGGTAGACTATTTAGGTTTGCTTAAGCTTCTCAGATGGTATCACTATAACCTTCCTGCAGCACACAATTTCAGGTATTTTAATGTTCTAAAATGGAGCTCAGATAATAACATTTTTTAATAAGGAACATGCAAAGTGCAGTGCTCAATTTAAAAAAAAGAAAATAAGTAATTGCAAACATTCTCTGTGAAAGTGCATTAATTATAGTATTCCCCTCACCATGCTTGCCACACCATCAAACACATTTATAAGAACTATTTCCTGTTCTCAAGGACCGTCTGGCTCTGTGCATTTTTGGCCACGAACAAACGTCGAAAAACATGCATAAAATAAAATAAAAACTTAAATACTACACATGTAGCAATATAGGCTATTTGTGCGGAAATTGAGCCGTATCTGCCGATGCAGACTTGTTGTTTAGTTACAGCAGGTGATACCCAAGGCTCCAGATTTGTTTTTTCACCACCACCATGAAAAACCATTTCAACCACAGTCAACCCAAAGTCAAAGTAAACGGCCACAAATTCTTAATGGTATCCTTCTTCTTTTGTATTGCCAATCTGTAGTGGTTATTTGCATTTGTATTTTTAGTGACAAAAAAAACTTGGCATTAGTAGCATTATTTATGCATTATCAGCTGCTTAGAGGTAGTGTTAGGAAATCACACATGTGATAACTTTCATCTTTTCTCGCCAAATACTACAATATACAAGATTCATTTGAACACATCATGACAGCGTTATAATTTACCTTTTGTCAGCACTGATTTTTACTGAAAGCATTACTTGATCGCCTCATAATGTAACTCAATGAAACCTCCATACATTAGCGGTTAGCTCCGGTGCTGCTAACGTTACGTCAGTGGCGGGCTGTCAGGGCCTGCAAGGCCTTCTCTGCTGGCCTAAACAGAATCACAAAGTTATGGCTATTTTATAATTGAATCATTTTTCTTAAATACACTACATGTATTATAATTTATAAAAAATATTTTTCCCATTATCTTATTTTCTTACTCAGACAGCGATTTTCTTACTCAGACAGCTACTGTGTTCCTCAGTTGCTCTGCTTCCAGTGCAGCTTGTTTTAAGTAGAGCTTTTATCCAATCAGATTTCACCTCTGTGTCTCTAGGTAAGAAGAGAGGCCCTAGGCCTGCAGACTCACAAGTGAATCCCTTTGCAGTTTAAGTGAATGGGGACGATATTGTTGATTGTCATAGTCTTCAACCAATCAGATCTTTAGTTTGACATGTTGGGCGTATTCTTTGACGTGTCATAGCCTGCTAGCTGGCCTACAAGTACGTGATTGGTCAGTGGGCTAGCCTGGCATGTTGGGCGGTGACAATCCCAATATCTGCTGCCTCTGCCGAGCAGACATTTTCAGCCCTCAAACGCATTAAAATGTATTCAAGAAATACAACTGGGGAGGCTCGACTGTCTTCACTGGCGTCCATGAATGGAGAAGGACTTCTTACTGGAACTAAAACGCACGGATGTACTGAACAACCGTGAGATTAAACTCTTTATTAACAAAGAAATGAGGATGCACTTTGTCTTTAAATAGTGAACGTTTGTTTCTACATCTGCAGTAGCTTTAATATGCTTGTTTATATATATTATTATTTGTACAACTTGTTTTTATGAAGATTTTGTTTGGTTTTATATGTGAGAGGAACCATTGTTACGTCCAATGTTGCTCTGGGGACATATTTAGCCGGTGCCAGTGTTGGCAATTTGGCGACTTTCTAGCTAAATCTTGCGACTTCCCAAACCCTCATGGCGACTTTTTTTTGTCAAAAGCTACTAGTGACAAATCTAGCGACTTGTTCTGGTGTTATTGGAGAATTTTCTGGTGTTTTGACGTTAAAGCACATACGTTACGCAGCGGGTGCTGCCGTGAGCCCCTCCGCCGACGCCCACAGAAGCCTCGCGCTGCAGTCAGAGCAGAGAGGAGACGCACTCTCGGCAGATAGTGTATCTACAGGTGTTGGCTTCATTTTTAAACGAAACAAATAATAACCGTAGCTGTATTCCAACATGTTGTAGCAATATCAGGGATTGGCAAATAGAAAGCATTAATGCCGACATCTCGATCGCATATTTTGTCTCAGTAACGGTCGACAACGCTTGTCATTAAAA